AACTGCCATAACCGATGAGCAAGGGGAGGAAACCCTGCTCGTAGGGACCTTGCCCCCAAGTTCGGACTCCTTTTACCTGCCCAACAGGGGAGCTGCCAAAGTTAATCTGTGGCTCCACGCAAGCTCATGCACATACCTGCCGAGCAACGCCCACGCAAACACGAAGTCCGAATGCCTGCTGGCCTTTGTTCCAGCAAGAGGGGTATTGCGCAGGCACTGCAAATAGTGGACTTGGTCCAACGGCACCTGATCATGCATGCCAGGCAATGGAGTGGGCACTCCACTGGGCATGATGATTCGCTGAAGCGCTTGGCCCAACGCGGTGCCTATGGATGCCACCGCACTAGCAACATCGTCGACTATATATGGTCCGCCTGGGGGTCGCCCTACGCGCGCACGCGGGCTTCGCGCGCTTCGCGGGCTTCGCGCGCTTCGCGGGCTTCGCGCGCTTCGCGGGCTTCGCGCGCTTTGCAGGCTTCGCGCGCTTCGCGCGCTTCGCGCGCTTCGCGGGCTTCGCGCGCCTCGCGGGTTTCGCGCGCTTCGCGGGCTTCGCGCGCTTCGGCGCTTCGCGGGCTTCGCGCGCTTCGCGGGCTTCGCGCGCTTCGCAGGCTTCGCGGGCTTCGCGCGCTTCGCGGGCTTCGCGCGCTTCGCGGGCTTCGCGCGCTTCGCGGGCTTCGCGCGCTTCGCGGGCTTCGCGCGCTTCGCGGGCTTCGCGCGCTTCGCGGGCTTCCCGCGCTTCGCGGGCTTCCCGCGCTTCGCGGGCTTCCCGCGCTTCGCGGGCTTCGTGCGCTTCGCGAGCTTCGCGTGCTTCGCGGGCTTCACCCGCTTTGCGGGCTACGCACGCTTCGCGCGCTTCGCGGGCTTCGCGGGCTTCGCGGGCTTCGCGCGCTTCGCGGGCTTAAGCTTCGCGCGCTTAAGCTTCGCGGGCTTCGCGCGCTTCCCGGGCTTCGCGGGCTTCGCGCGCTTTGCGCGCTTCGCGCGCTTCGCGCACTTCGCGGGCTTCGCGCGCGCTTCGCGGGCTTCGCACACTTCGACTAGTAGTAGTATTTGTAGTAGTAGTAGTAGTAGTAGTAGTAGTAGTAGTAGTAGTAGTAGTAGTAGTAGTAATAATAATAGTAGTAAAAATAGTCGTAGTAAAAATAGTCGTAGTAAAAATAATAGTAGTAGTAGTAGTAGTAGTAGTAGTAGTAGTAGTAGTAGTAGTAGTAGTAGTAGTAGTAGTAGTAGTAGTAGTAGTAGTAGTAATAGTAGTAGTAATAGTAGTAGTAGTAGTAGTAGTAGTAGTAGTAGTAGTAGTAGTAGTAGTAGTACGAATGATCATAGTACGTAGTAATATTAAGAATAATAAAATAAGAATAGTAAGAAGAATGGTAATAATATCAATAATAACAATATAATGGTAGTAGCAATAGTAATCGTAATAGTAGTCGTCGTGTAATAATCGTGATCACTATCGTGGTAATAATGGTAGTCGTAAAAATTATGATAATAATATGAATAATAATAATCATTTTAAGCGTCGTAGTAGTAAGACTAATAGAAACAATAATAATAGCAATAATAAGACAAAAAAATGAACAATAATACTAGTTTTCGTATAACAATAATAATGAGTAGGAATACTGCAAGAATAATGATTACAGCAATAATAAGAATAAGAATAATAATGCTCGTATTAATAGTAGTCGTCGTAGTAGTAGTAGTAGTAGTAGTAGTACTAGTACTAGTAGACTTTCTAAAGTTCCAAAACTTATTTCAAACTTTCAAAATTTGGAAGTTTCCGCCTGTGTTTTTTGAAATTTTAGAATCTTGAAAACCGGAAAATATTGTCCGGGAAGTTCCGTTCTAAGCAATGCAAAGTGTGCGAAGCTGTTTTAAGCCGCGCAAAGCGTGTTTCAAAGCCTATGAATCTTGTTGAAGCCCATCATGTGAGCATTGTGTTTGCAAAAGGGGGGGGGGGGGCTGCGACCTCCAAACGCCCCGCTTTGTTTTTTAAGCCGTGCAGAGCGTGCTTCAAAGCCCAAGAAATTTGTTGACACCCAGCATGTGAGCAGGGTGTTTGCAAATGGGGCCCCAGCCCCCCCGCTTCTTTTAAGCCGTACCAAGCGTGCTTCAAAGCCCAAATTAGTTGAAAAAAACATCGTGTGAGCATTGTGTTTGCAAATGGGGGGGGCTGCGCCCCCCCCAACCCCCCCGCGACCCCCCCAGCCCCCCCCCCCTTTGTTTAAGCCTTGCAAACCGCTTCGTTGAAGCCGTACGAAGCATGCTGCAAAGAAACAGAAACTAGTTGAGAGAGAAAAAAAAAACATCGTGTGAGCAGGGTGTTTGCACATGGAGGCGGGGGGGGCTGCGCCGCCCCCCCAATCCCCCCCGCTTCTTTTAAGCCGTACCAAGCGTGCTTCAAAGCCCAAGACACCAGTTGAAAAACATCGTGCGAGCATTGTGTTTGCAAATGGGGGGGGGGCTGCGCCCCCCCCAACCCCCCGCTTTTGGCTGCGCCCCCCCCAACCCCCTCTGCTTCTTTTAAGCCGTACCAAAGCGTGCTTCAAAGCCCGCTTCAAAGCCCAAGAAACTAGTTGAAAAAACATCGTGTGAGCATTGTGTTTGCAAATGGGGGGGGGCTGCGCCCCCCCCAACCTCCCCCGCTTTGTTTAAGCCTTGCAAACCGCTTCTTTGAAGCCGTACGAAGCATGCTGCAAAGAAACAGAAACTAGTTGAGAGAAAAAAAACATCGTGTGAGCAGGGTGTTTGCAAATGGGGGGGGGGGGGGGCTGTGCCCCCCCCCAACCCCCTCCGCTTCTTTCAAGCCGTACCAAGCGTGCTTCAAAGCCCAAGAAACTAGTTGAAAACATCGTGTGAGCATTGTGTTTGCAGATGGGGGGGGGCTCCGCCCCCCCCAACCCCCCCCGCTTTTGGCTGCGCCCCCCCACAAGCCCCCCCCCCGCTTCTTTTAAGCCGTACCAAGCGTGCTTCAAAGCCCGCTTCAAGCCCAAGAAACTAATTGAAAAACATCGTGTGAGCATTGTGTTTGCAAATGGGGGGGGGAGCTGCCCCCCCCCCAACCCCCTCCGCTTTGTTGAAGCATTGCAAACCGCTTCTTTGAAGCCGTACGAAGCATGCTGCAAAGAAACAGCAACTAGTTGGAGAGAAAAAAAAACATCGTGTGAGCAGGGTGTTTTGCAAATGGTGGGCGGGGCTGCGCCGCCCTCCCAACCCCCCCCCCCTCTTCTTTTAAAGCCGTACCAAGTGTGCTTCAAAGCCCAAGAAACTAATTGGAACAAAAAAAAAAAAAAAAAAAAAACATCGTGTGAGCATTGGTTTGCAAATTGGGGGAGGCTGCGCCCCCCCCAAAACCCCCCCCCTCTTTGTTAAAGCCTTGCAAACCGCTCTTTGAAGCCGTACGAAGCCATGCTGTAAAGGAAAACAGAAACTAGTTGAGAAAAAAACATCGTGGAGCAGGGTGTTTGCAAATGGGGGGGGGGGGGGGCAACCCCCCCCGCTTCGTTTAAGCCGTACCAAGCACATCGTGTGAGCATTGTGTTTGCAAATGGGGGAGGCTGCGCCCCGCCAACCCCCCCCCCCCTTGTTCTGAGCAATGCAAAGCGTGCGAAGCTGTTTTAAGCCGCGCAAAGCGTGTTGCAAAGGCTATGAATCTTGCTGAAGCCCATCATGTGAGCATTGTGTTTGCAAATGGGGGGGCTGCGCCCCCCCCAACCCCCCCCCCCCCCCCCCGCCTTTTTTTTTTCAAGCCGTGCCGAGCTTGCTTCAAAGGGGGGGCTGCGCCCCCCCCAACCCCCCTGCTTTTTTTAAGCAGTGCAGAGCGTGCTTCAAAGCCCAAGAAACTTGTTGACACCCATCATGTGAGCAGGGTGTTTGCAAATGGGGGGGGGGGCTGCCCCCCCCCCCCCCAACCCCCCCGCTGTTTGTAAGCCGTGCCAAGCGTGCTCGCCTTTAAGATTTTTTTGAAATCTTGAAAATTGGAGAATATTGTCTGGGAAGTTTCCCGAACTTTCTCAATGTTAAAAACTTTTCAAATTCACTTCTTTGCCATGACAACAAGAAACAAGGGACTGGATTCAGAACAAGGTTCTCGTCCCTGCCAGGACCAAACCCCTCCCCCGCGGCAAACGGAAGGGAGAAGGGTCAAAGCCCTTAAGCCCCCCCGTAGCCCCTCTTTAAAACCCTTTTGAAAGAGTCTCACTTCTCTGGTTTCGAATAATGAAAAAAAAGATTCGAGGGGGGTGGAAAATTGAAAACTTTTCACACGAGTGAACACAGCTGCAGCGGCACACTCAAGGAATCACAGCATGACCACATGGTGCAATGGGCAAAACAGTTTCACTACAGTTGCAATGAGATATCGCAATCAAATCAAACTCGTAATCACCCCGCCAAAGGATGTTTCGAGAACGCGGAGTTCAAACATGCTTTCATTACGACAAGCCAAAAGACTGTACAAAGCCCAAAGCACACATGCGACCAACAAGCTGCAACCCTCAGTGCACAAACGATCTGACATGCTCCTCAGCCGTGCGCGGACGTACCGCAGTCCAAGGCTCCTGCCGTTTTGACAGTTCTTTACACAAGCACCTAAAGTGCACCTGGCTACAACTGACCTCTATCCTTGGGCACCTCAGGCAGATCTGGAGTCTGCCACACAACACACCCGGATGGTGTGGATTGTGTTTCTTATCTCAACTCACAAGACGTCTCAAGTGAGACCCAAGGTGGCGGCCTGTCTCCGAGAGCGGCCCCTTCAAGGTCCATAAGCAGCATGAGCAAACAGTCAGGCAATCGTTGCTGTGTCATCACGACTAAGCACTGTCCTTTAAGGACAACATCTCAAGAAAGGATGCCACGCACAAACACGAAGTGGTACCAGTCCGTAACTGCTTCCACAGGCAATGGTCAAGCCTCAAGAGAGGTGCTTTCGCAGCATAAATTCTGGTTCCTTCAAATGCATGCAAACAAATCGTGGTCGGAACAAACATTGGGCTCATTCAAGTGTCATCGTGTCCTTCAGGCTCAGGCAGGATTTGCAGTTGCGGATGAACCTGCCCCTGATCTTGATTGGTCACAGTGATGAATGTGAACATGGTGATCAGTCGTGGAATGTCTCCCAAATGCGCCAGGTGTCGCACCCAGGCTTGGCACAGTACGCAGAGGCCGAACCTTCCTGGGTGCTCATCTTGCAAGTCACCATACAGCGTCATCTGAACGATCCTTGCATTCCGCAAACCATCACAGTCATATCTCATGTGGAATCTTGTCCCACGGTGCGGTGCGAACCAAACCGGTGCTTCCCGTCTGACTTGAAGAATGTCATCTGGTCCAAGTTCACGGTGCATCCATGCGGGTGCAATGGCTGCTGGAGGTTCATGGGCACCCTCAAGGTCCTCCGGTTCCTCATCAGGCTGCGCTGCTGCATCTGACGATCCATCGTCAGAGTCATCATGAGCATCGACTAGGGCAAGTGGCTGGTGGTTCTCTGGAATTGTGGCGAAACCCACTATCCTAAGGAACCGACTACCTATGTCCTCAACCCAGGCACCTAGATTGGCAACCGCCTGTCTACAACCGCCTCTAAGTCCTAGACCCGCCTGATGAGACCTTGTCATGAATGCCAATGTGGCACACAAGACCACAAGAGTGATCACAGCACGAACATCAACGCTCACTGTCACGACGTACCAGTTCTCATGTGGCTCTAGTGGTTGACTCAAACTGTGTCCTTCCGTAGCCCCACTCGACACCACTTGCAGGAGAAGTGCAATCACCTTCAAGGCATCACCATGACCCTGGTTCAAACGTCGCGTGACACGCATGAACTGCTTCACCTCCTGCTGTCGCTGATGTTCACGGAACTCAGCAGCTCCTACTCGATCGAATCCCTCTGCTTCTGATCTGATGCCAAAGCAATGACACAAGAATTTGGTTCTGCTTGATGACAACGCCTTTGTCATCAAATCAGCAGGATTGATCGTAGTGCCAATCGCGTGCAACGTTGCCTTGCGGTGCAAACATATGTGGTCCTGCAACCACAGCATGCGTCCTTCAACATGCCGAAGCCGTCCACATCCCTTCCGTGAGACTATTCCTCGCGCCGCACTGGAGTCAGTGAAGATGTGGGTCTCCAACGGTTCTCCCATTACGTGCCTCAAGGCCGTCTCGATCAGGATCGCGTCGCAGGTTCCAGACACCATGGCAATGTACTCAGCTTCCCCGCTAGAAAGCGCAACGCATGCCTGCGATCTAGAGAAGGAGTACACCGGAGCACCATTCAACATCAAGCATCCGGCTGACGTGCTCCGACGAGTGGACTTGTTTCCACTCCAATCGGAGTCACAGAACACCTCAAGGACGTGAGCATCCCTGTCTCGGACGACATATCCGTTCCCTTTTCCACAACTCTCAAGGCTCCAGACGTAATCGGCATGGTTGTAAAGGTAGTTGGCAAGGTGCCTCAAGCACTGCCACGCTCCCTTGTTCGGCTTCCCACACACGCTTGAGAGTGTGTTCACTGCGAACTGTGCAAACGGCAGATCCGGCGCCACGTAGAGAAGGATGCCAATGGCTTTGCGGTATAGGGCTGAGGATGTTTGGTCAAGCGGCTCGAGCTTGCTCCAGAGCGGCAGTGTGCCCCCAACGGGTAGAGGAGTCTCCTTCGGTTTCTGGCTCACCACTCCAAGCATTGTCGCCAACGTGGTCACGTGTTTAGGGTTCGGGTATATGCCCAGGACACCCTGAGCCAGCCAAACATGTCGCCGCTTCAGAAACTCAACCTCTTGACCAATGCCCTTCAGGCGATGAACAGTACATCGGTACTTTCCTCGGACGCATGCTTCCAAGCGGTCCAGACATGCACTGTGTCCCACCGCAAACACATCATCTACATGACATAGTCCGCCTCCAGTTTCATCTGCCCCGCCATCTGACTCAGCTGGCGCTGGGATCCTGAAAAGCGCAGGTGCCTCGATGAGAGGCTCGATGGAGAGGCCTTGGGAGAGATGTTCTTGGAAAGAGTCGAACCAGTCCTTCGCCCCTGGCCGCTGCCCCGGGAGATTCCGCAAGAGCTGGTAGTACTTTCGTTCGGTTCCAACATCAACCGACACCACTGTCTTGACACGCTGTGGCACTGTCAGATATGCATCTGTGATATCTAGCGCTAGAGCCTCCCAGGGCTCTCCTTGTTTCTGCTTTGTCACAAGCACTGCAGGCAGCAGTTTCCAGAGAACGCTGGCACTAGCTGGTGCAAAGATATCGCTGCCGGCCATATTGGTCATCCACTTAAAATCTCTCGCGACAAACCTAGCCCGTCGGAGAAAGGCCTGTCCTTGGCCTTCTGGCGCAGCTTTGATCCTCCAGCCCTTGACCATCTTCGTCGATAGCCACCTGAAGTCATCAAGGTTTGTGCTAGCAGGATCCAAAGGCAAAAGGACTCCCATCTGGACAAGGCGTTCAAGTTCGAATGATTCAGCTATCATGTCAACATGGGCCTGTTCCTCTGCTGACAGCATTGGCTCATGATCACTGAAAGGTCGCCACAGCTCATTGGGGATTTGACCAGTTGTGCTTGACACGCTCTGGTCAGGGACAGACTGTGGCATCTCATCTTCTAGTGACCTGACTGACTCGTCGCTCTCTGAACCATCTTCGATGCCTAGATCCTCGAACTTGACGACCTCATCGTTGTGCACTAGGTTCATGATCCTCTGACGCTTAGGACTGGACTCGGGCAACGTGGACGAACGCTCTGGAAGTGCAGCAGGCATATGCTCACCACTAACACCAACCAGCTCTGGCAGCATTGCTTCTGGGGTACCCGGTGCACTAGGGTCGAGACCTAAACCCCCTAAACCTGGGTTCGGGCCTAAATGCTGCTCAACACGTGGCTGGTCTTCACAAACCATGGCGCTTGGTGGAGGTGCACGACTTGGCCGCGGGTGTGCCCGGCTGGGCTTTGGTACAGGGATTGCAAGCTTAGGCAACACATTCTCTGGTGTGGGCGGTGAAAGGACCAGGCGCGATGTCCTCCTGACCAGGGCTGATCACATCAGCCTCATTGCTTGAGACGTCGCTCCCAGCAATGTCACTCTCCTGATCCTCTGTCGCCTCAACCTGCTTTGCTTGGACCTGCTTCCTAGAACTGCCAACCTTTCCGTGCTTGTCAGGATTGTCGCGCAAGGCTGCGACAAGCGTGGGGTCATATGCAGCGGCGGTCCTTCTGATGGACCTGGCCATCACCAGTCGACCTGCAGAGGTGCAAACAATGTGGCAGTCCGAAATGTCACTTTTCCCCAACCACAAAGATTTAAACCACCTAGGCTTACCCTTAGTTGCAGACCTTATCCTGGCAAGGACGTACTCCCCATACCGGACAAGCTTCCCGGTGTACGGTGTTTGATGCAAACGCTCCCACGCGGTCAATGCCTGCATGACATTGAAACGCTGCAACAACCAGCCGGAATGCCTCCAGCACCAAGCATGCAGTGGATGTAACGTGCCTATCGTCACACCTGAGTTCTGTTCAAACTCACTCAGCAGGGTCCCAACACGTTGTCTGATCTTCTCGATTGCACCTTCAGCAGTGCATGCCTGATGTTCGCCGGCAGGTGTGTTCTCAACATGTGTCTGCATCCCTATGCGGCTTCGCAGTGTGCTCACAGCCTCGGCCAAACTATTGCATGACGGTTCTGGGTCACACCTCAGAGTGACGGACCGGTGCCCCAGATACGACAGCAAACGTGTGATTTCTAAAGCCATGTAGTTTCTGGCAGCCGTGCCGCCTTTTCTCTCAACTGGCCACGCTTGCACCCACTTAGTTGCCGAGTCACACACAACCAAACAACAGAGCTTTTCCTTGTCCCCATCTTTGCGCGATGTGTAAGCGAAGTCAAAGGACAGGGTTGACACAGCTCTGTCATCCCTCTGACGTGTCTCGTGACGATCAGCTTTGGCACGGTATGAAACACAATGCTCGCACCAACCCCTGTACGGGGTGTGCGTCATTGCATGCTCTTTCTGCTCTGCCTCGCTTGGCAATGCAACCTCAGCTTGCATAGTCGCAGGTCGTTCGGTCATCTCTGCAAGTTGGCTTCTAGCTTTGTGTGCTGCGATCAGCTGCTGCTGATCAAGATGCGTCCTGATCCTCTTGAGGACTGTGCTTTTGCCCCCAGATTTGCCCAAACCAAGTGCATTAGCGGCAGACCGCAACGTCGCCAATGTGCACGCCATGCTGAGCGCAACGCCATCAACAACCAACGGCTGACTGGCCTCATCATCGGGTTCATCCCTCAAGGCACTGTCCACCTGGACCTGCTCACGCGGCTCAGGCTCTACTGCTTCGGCCTGCAGAGGCTCTCCGTCCTCCATTCGCACATTGTCTGACTCGGGCAAATCAGACGAACGCTCTGGAAGTGCAGGAGGCTCTCCGGATCCTTCACACACCTTGAGACCAACCTCCTCAGGAGCAACATGCCTCCTTGTGGCGAAAACAAGCACCTCACGAGCAACATGTCTGTCACCAGGAAGCAACGCACTCAGGTTCTCAATTGACTCAAGTGGCTCACACCACTCAATCACTGACCAAACTTCAGGCATGCCTGGTTCCTTCACGAGCGTGCTTCTGTATTCGCAACCCTCACGCGGAAGAGCAACTTGCACATCGATGAACCGCTCACTTGAAGTGCGCAACGCAAACACATCTGGCATGACCTGGTCAAAGTAGTCGCTGAGAGGACCAAGCGACTCGATCGTGTATTCAACAGCACGCACCTGCTTAGGAGAAGAGCTTGCAAGAGGTTCGGGGTGCGAGGCGATGGGTCTGCTGGCCGCAGACGCTGCAAGTGTGACTGACGATGCTTCACTCAGAACCCTGATTTATTTCTGTTTGCCGTAAATTGCATTTGCTTTCAACTGGAGATCAAATGTATATCTTGTTTAGGGAAAATTCAATCTCACTTCATCTCTGGTGAAGTAAGTGAATCAAGAATCTATTTCAAAACCGGATGCAAAGCACTAATCAATCAGACTCATTCACAATCACACCTTTTTCATGCCGGTGGCAGATGATCTTGGGGAAAGTTCGAGTAGAACTCCCAGCGCACCATACCTACGGCATGCGTGCTGCATCCAAATGCTTTGGATACGGGACATGACATCAGGAGATGATCATGCCTCTCACAACCCCGGGTGGGCTGGGTGGGAGACAAAAATTTTTCTGTGCACCTTACTCGAACCGAGGTGCTGCAGATATCACATGTTGTTTCACAAAACATGACATCTGATTCAAGAAAATGGGCTCGTGCTTCACTTGCCATTTTAAATGTCATGATGCGTGCATGTGTGTGCATCACAAATGGACACGTCCCGTTTTAAAACAAAACACCGCAAACGCAACCAGAAATTTTTCCCCAAGAAAAATTTCGTGATACAGCCACAGAAATAATGCCTTGTCCATCGCGATGGAAGGCCGTCTTATTTCTGTTTGCTGTAAATTGCATTTGCTTTCAACTGGAGATCAAATGTAGATCTTGTTTAGGGAAAATTCAATCTCACTTCATCTCTGGTGAAGTAAGTGAATCAAGAATCTATTTCAAAACCGGATGCAAAGCACTAATCAATCAGACTCATTCACAATCACACCTTTTTCATGCCGGTGGCAGATGATCTTGGGGAAAGTTCGAGTAGAACTCCCAGCGCACCATACCTACGGCATGCGTGCTGCATCCAAATGCTTTGGATACGGGACATGACATCAGGAGATGATCATGCCTCTCACAACCCCCAAGACTCAAAGGCGTGATCAACGAGTGTATCAAGATCGATCGTGAATTCTTTGCCCAGCTCCGGATCTTTAGAGCCGCGTGAGGGGGCATCTGCCACGTTTGAGCAGGTGTTCACGCGTTCAAACCAGATGTTAAGCCCAAGCTCGTCACACAGCACATGAACATGCTGAGCAATCGCTTCTCCATACTTGTTGCTTGAAATTCCGGCAACCATACAGGCCAGGGCACCCTCGTTGTCAGTAAACACAACAAGGTTGGTACTGCGAATGAGCGGAGCCCACAACCTGAGTCCGACAAGGATGGCTAAGCATTCGTACTCGAAAATGGGGTTGCCGCTCTCAGGATTCATGCGACGTCTCACATGCTCAGACGCGCGTTCACTGAAAAAGCCCATCTTCGAACCCACTTCATTAACAAGAACACCTCCCAAGCCTACGTTATCACCCTCACAAGAGGCATCGACATAAAGATGCATGGTAGTCAAGATGTTGGCGCAGATCACCCTGGGCGGTGAAAAGTTGACTCGATCGCGCAACCTTAGCAGGGCTACCCTGGTGCACTCATCCAGGTGTCCTCCTCCTCGAAGCACAAACCGCGACAGTTGTTTGTAGGCTGTTCCAGCAACCTTTCCAGCTATCTGGTTTTCAGCAAACTGGAGTCGGCCCCTGATGCGTTCGCCATCCTTTTGCGTGAGGTAACCAGACGACAGGATGTCGGACAAGGCCTCGAAGATCTCGTCTCGCCTCGACTCCGTATTACACAGAGTGATACGTCCGAGACGGGACTCAGACAAGTCGAACTTCAACCCCAACACTTTTGCACAGGAGTCGAACACAGACTCTTTGTCTTCGGCGACATCCCACCCCAACAAGCGGAATACTAGGCAAACACCAATGTCGAAGAGGCGGGCCAGAGGGGCCAGCTCCACACCCACAAAGTCGTCAAAAAAAACGTTGATTTGGCACAAGAACAACACTACAAGGACTTTCCATATCCCTAGTGACACCCGGCAAAATGCGTGCACACTGTGCCGTGATCCAAACGGAAGAACCTTTTGTCGGAAAATTCGGGGACATTTCCCTTTTGGGTCGTAGACGCACAAGAAACTGTCCTCTAGTGCCTCCAGGGATAGCGGAAGGTTTTTGTAGGCCTTGTGAAGGTCCCATGACTTCAAGAGAAGTTGATGCAACCTGCACTTCGCATCGGCCCTCAGTCGACGGGCCAAACCTGATGCTATGCAGTCGGCGGTGTGCACGGTGATTGTGTCGTACGATGAAGAGGTGGCATTCAAACCACTTTCAAGGTAGTTATCGATGGGCCGTGTTTTGTTATTCTGCACAACGCCAAAGCGCCTGGTCAACAAAGAGCTGGCCCCCAGGTCGCTCTCTTTCAGCGGCCCGTCCAGCCACCCCCGCTCCACCTCGTCCAAGGTGACTCGGTAAGTCTCATCGACCGCCATGGTGGCAGCTGTACGCTTAGCGCGGAACTCAGGACAGTAGGGGATCGGGCCTCCTAAAGCAAAACCCTTAGACATATCCGCAACCAACGACGGATCATTGTGGCCGGCAGCCTCAATCATCTCGCCGAAAAGAAGCAGCCTTTTCTTGCCCAAGGTTTTCGCACAGTGCTTGGGCAGTGTCTCCTTATACACACGTTCTTGCTCGTCGAGCTCTGCGGCTCGCCCTAGCCACTGACGTAAAGCTTCAGTCCTACTGGCACCAACGGCGTGCATGCCCTCCGACGCCAAGAAGTCAATAGTTTGCTGCAACTCAGGTGGAACTCCCGAGCTCATAAGACGTGGGTGCTTAGCCTCAAGCGCTTGCTTGATGAATTCATCGCACGTCCACGGTACTCCAACCCACGTCCTAAACCTATCGGGAACCCTACCTAATGGGGGGGAGCCTTCCTCGGGCCCTGCCGGTGAGGAGGCTTGGTGTCTTGGTTGTTCGGGTAAAGCAAACCCCACACACTGCAGCTCAGCCGTTTGGTCTGCAGTCAAGCGATCTGTGTGATTGGTGGTGTAGGCAACAAGTATGTCACGTGTTGCCCCATGCCTGGGCATTGCACAGTGCTTATGGTGGGGGTTAAACAGGATCCGGTTGGACTCGAACTTCAGCTCACAGCCCATCAAGTCAGGCACGTTCGGATCTGGGCAGGGCACGTCCCCAAGCTCATTGTGTATCCAAATTCCACCCTCGAAAGATGAAAGTTTTAAAACACAGTTAGGGAAACCTTGGGCATTGTTTTTGTCAACATGAACCCCTCCTTGAAGGTTTCGTCCAAGCATGATGGCTGAGAACGGATGCCCTGGTGCATGCTGTTTTACGAACTGACACAGCATATTACTGACAGCCGGGTTGAGCCGCAGGTTAGCCCTGACCCCGGTAACCCCTCCCTGTGCATAGGCCCCTGTGGACCACGAAAACTCATCATCCAGGCCAGCACCTCTGGCCAAGCGATCCGACTTCAAGAGCTGGAACAGCTGAATTACATCATCAGCCAAGATAGTTTTCTGTTGAAGGCACACAGAGGCGAACTGCTCGACGGGGCAGTTCGGGTTTCCTGGATTCCTACTGCTTGGCTGGGATGAAGGTCCAGAACGCGGCGTCTCCCCACCCCCAAGTGCAACACGACGCAATATACGAGAACCGTGGGCAGTTCCGGCAAGGGCGGGTCACACGAGGCTGAGGGCGGAACAGGCACGGCCACAGGCAGCTTGGCTGAAGCAGGCAAGAAGTCATGGTCAGATGTCACAACGACCACATCACGGAACTCCGCAACCATAGGAGACCGCCTTGCACAACCCAAGCGGGTAAGCGGTCTCCTCACTAGTAGCATAGCGGAACTTAGACACACGACCCCAAGGCAGATGCTTATGTGAGGCAGACTCGCCAGGGCACGTCAGGTTGAGTTGGTCGAAGGCCGGCACGTTGTGCACCCACAACGTATGCTTGGGGCGGTTGCCCCCGTAGCAACAATGGTCAAACACAGCTTCCCGCAAGGACAAACCGGAAGTGCCCTGACGCCACGCAGTGGTCTGCCACATGAAAGAATTCAGGGGATTCTCGCAGCTGACAAGCTTGCCGGCAAGAACCGCCCGTTTCAGGGCTGCAGCGGTCACGCCATAGAGGCGGTTGGCCGCAGCCACGCGTTGAGCCAAACGGTCAGGAAGATCAGGAAGGCCATCAGGAAAGGTATCATCCCGACACGGTTCGGGGTCGTGACCGGTCTCTTGGATCAGGCGAGCACGGGAGCTCGTGCCACACGGTGGTGCAAAATGCACATAAAGACAAAAAGGGTTGTCGATCATGTCATGCAAAAGCTGTACATCAAAATCACGAGTGAGATCAAGTTTGACCATGGGACAAGGGCAATGCCTGGGGATCCGATGATCGACGCCACAGGAATCTTGCAGGCCTATGGCACGAAGTGCCACAGTGAGACGAGCGCTGCCCGCAAACACTTCAAGAGCATGGAAAACAGTCAGCTGCTTGCTACCGCCAGGGTGAGCTGCACTTTCTGAAGGGGGAACATCAGGCCGGGCAGGTAACACCTCCACCGGCAACAAGCCAGCAGGCACAGCAGCCTCTTCCACAGGGGCCGCAGGCTGATGGTGGGAACATGAAGTGATTGCGGGCTCCGCCAGTCAAGCAGGTTTCTTGGGGCACACATGTGCCCCATGCATACCTCCACACCGCATGCAAACGTGCAAGCCCTTGCTGCAAGTTTGTCCAGCTTTGGCGCCGGGACAGCCTGCGGCCATGTTAAAACCCCAGCAGCGCCGTTTCCCGGTTCGTGTCCATGATGAGAGGCCTCGCAGCTCAGAAGGCAGGTTGGCGGGCTCAGTAGGGGTTTGCTTGTCCTTCCCTTTCGGGGTCTCTTGGCTGGGGGCCCCTCAGGGGGGTCAGGGACGCCCGGGGGGCGGGCGCAGGATGCTTGCCCGAAGAGTCAGGAAGCGGCAAAAGATGAAAGACCACGCGTGGGTCCTTCTGCAAATCAGCCCAGAGGCTATCCAACGGCAATTCACCTGTAGCCTTGCGACGCACCCCGGCTGGGGTTAACTCGGACAAACGGACCCAGGCAGCTCTATCAGCGTGAAGGAGTTGCTGAACAGTGGGGCTGCGGTATCCCGCCAGGACAGGCTGCTGCAGGTGGTTCCTAAGAAAGGAGTTCCACTCTTGCACGCGAGCATACGTGCTAAGTCCAACAAGGTCCATGGCCAACGCGCGACGGTGCAGGGCCTGGAACAGATCAAGGGCATGCGTCACGTCGCAATGCTGCTCTGCAGCGCGGTCCTTGATAAGGAGCACGGAAGAGGAAGATCCCGGGGCTGCGACATCAAGTTCCTTGCGGGGCTTGTCCATACGCAGTTCCGCCTGCCGGCAGGTAAACTTCGAAGGCTGAAGATACGAGACACAGTTGTCAGAGATCAGCTTCAGGCAAAGGTCATAGCTTGCATGCGAGCACTCGTTGACACCAGACAAGTCAACACCTGCAAGGCGGGCAGCTTGCTTCTGCAGGCGATCACGCCGTTCTGCTGGAGGCAATTCTTTTGGCTGCTCTTCTTTATTCTCAACTAGGCACTTGGTCTCATTGACAACCAACGTTTGTGCTTCGAAGACTAACCGGCGTACCGCGGCGACGGTACCAAGAGAGGGATCGGCACCTCCTGCACCCCCGGCTGCAGCGACTGGAGCAACTAAGGCCTTGAGTTTTTCGTCACTGGGGGACTCCCCGGGATGACCAGGAGCGAACGCCAGTTTGGCCAAAGTGTCGACGCCCTGGTCAAGCAGCCGTTGCAATGCATCATCTGGCAACCCCACCTTAGCGGCACGCTCTTTCAAAACTGCAGTAGATTCAGTCAACAAGGCAGACATGGCGCACAGGATCTTAGGGCAAGCGAAAACTGGACCTAACAACACCTGCACATAGGTGCTATGGCAAACTGTGTAGACTGTGGCCAAAGAAGCTGCAAAGGTCCTAAGCACCTGCCATTAGAGCTTCCGAAAACGAGGTCAGTAATCGCAAACACGATCTGCAAACATGATGTCAAATCATCTCGTAGAATGCACCTTCTACAAACCCTGCAGCCGTGATCGAACCACGAGCTACATTCCTTGAAGACTGAGCGCAGCAGGTTGACACATCGTATTGTCGAGTTGCAGTTTGCTACAGAGAGCCAACTGAAGACAACAGGCATGTGAGCAGTGGCTGCTGGAACAGTCAAGCTTCATCCTTTCAGGAAAGACAGCAGCTGGAACTCCGTGGTACCCAGATATACTGCCGGTGCCATGACCGGCAGTAAGGATGTTGCCGCGAACATCCGCAAATGCTTCCACGAGCCGCACGCAAGCTTTTCACATCGCCTTACTTCTCGAGGCGCTTGTCCAGGTGATGCAAAAGCGAGCCAGTGTCTCGGATGGGCTTAGCCATCGTACACTGCTTGCACTTCCAATGCTTGCTGTGCACTCTTCCAGAGAAGGGAACAAAACCTTTTGCCGGCCGACCGCAAAGCATCTTGCTGTCTGGCGTCGCACCTCGGGCCCTTGCGTGGATTGATTTTGTCTTAGGGTTCTGGAAGAGATCCAGGTCTACCCCTATGGTTGCACGCGGGGCCTGCACCTCGAAGCCTCGGAGGAATCCATCATAATCAACCGGCTCGTCGGATGAGCCTGATGATTCACTGTCGCTAGAAGACTCCAAGGAACCTGACTCGCACACACGATCTGGGCTCACGCCACCGAAGACTGCATCTTCCTCGGCCTCCCTGGCAACCTCAAGCTCACCTTCCTGGAAACCGGGAGCTCGATCCAAACTTAACGCTGAAGCCCCCCCTTCAGAAAGTGCTGCCTCGTCGGGCGCCGTGTCATTTGCAGGGCCAGCAACACTGAAGGACGGCGCAAAGGACGGCTGGAAGGGGGGACGAGAAGCAAAACTACGCGGGAACTCGTCATGCGACTCAGCGTGCTCCCTGATCATGCCACTGCGGGTCAAGTCTGGAAGGAAGACCCCCACTCTGATCGATTTCAAGCATGCACACAAATCTCTCAACGGGCCCGCCTGCACATCGCGACCATATGCTTCGGAAGTTTTGCCCCTAGCCCCCAGTGAGTGATGGCCAAGAACGAGGATGGTACGGTCCCCGTAATTTGCCTTTGTCACCCACGAAAGTGTTGTGGCTTTCAGGCCATGGCTCGTTAAACCATCAAGGACTTCGCCCATCAGCGCCTTGAGGATGCCATTCAGCCACCTTGTGGTTTCAGCAGCATCCACCGCATCCCCGGACCAAGTGTAATCGCTGGCAAAACGGGGCAACAGCGGGCCTCTGAAACCCTTCTCAAAGTCAAACCCAACATCTTTGGCAGCCTGAACAAAAGCAAGCCCCCAAGGCTGGGAGGCGAGCCCCTGGATCGGAGCCACCAGTATGAGGACAGCACTGGGTCCACTGGTAATGCGACGGCTTTTGTGCTCGTACGTATGTGCTTCGATATACCCTTCTGCCCCGGTTATGTCCAGGTAAACCTTGAACAGATTGCGCAAATCGGACACTCGGGCTCGAGCATACAGCTGAAACAACATAACTCCGAGCGCATATCGATCAAAACGGTCCAAACGGCCCCCGATCAAGGCCTCTTCAAGATGCTTCACCTCCTTCACAGTCAAGGTCCGTGAGCGGTGGGCATCCCGGAGCCGGATGTTGGCAAATCTCATCGTCCCTTTGAACCACGGGTGTGAAGTCACATCATCACTCACCTGAAACCCCAACACAAAGCGACAAAAATTCAAGGAGCTTGCAAAATCCCGGATGGCACTCTTCTTGTTACCCGAAATAGCATCCTTGAGATAGCTCCGGATCTTCTCAATTGAGAAGGGGAAAGCATCGCACCCATTGTCCGACGCCCAATGCACGTATTTCCCGATGCAGCGGACTCTTTTCAGAAGAGTACTTGTTGCCTTGCCCTCAAACGTCTCAGACACAAGCTCGGCACCATCACACGCACTCCCCGCAAGCATCTGGCCCAATGAAGATGCACTGGTATCATGCAACAACACACACAACCATCGCCGCACAACTGCTTCCCTGTCCAATGACTGCTTGACCCCTGGTTCAAGACGAGCCTTGCGAAGGACCTGGTCAAACACAGGCGGTAAGGAACCTGTTGCAGGCACAGAAAGTGGTACTCTCTTAGCGGCTTTGAGTTGATAAGCAGATACCGGCCACTGTGGTATATTAGGTCTTGGCATGGGCACACGTAGAGGCTGGGCGAATGGAACTGACGTTTGCACCTCAAAAACGCCCTTGAAAGGTGGCTTCTCCCAAGGCATCAATTCAACACTCCGGGCACCTGAAAAACCAGCTTCCTCGATTGCTCTGTCAAGGTCAAAATCAGCTGGTCTTTTGCGATTTGACATGTTGCGCAGTGTACCGTAGTGGAAAAGTATCTCAGGCAGCTGCACACCAGTATTGAAGTTGAGGCTGACACTCCCCCCCCCCCGTGCACAGGAAGACTCAAGGCAGATCTGGCGGCCTAGTCCTCGTGGAGGGACTGCCACTGAACGTGAGGGAAGGTTCTCTGCAACGCCACAACAAGAAACGGAAAACAGCTCTGGTTATGCAACACCCGCTCCGTCAAGGTTTCAATGGCTGGAGCAGGATGCACAAGGCGGGGCTGCAGGCGGGCAGAAGCACGAATGTGGGCCTCTTGCAAAGGGGCGATCTGATCACGCAAGGCCCTAACTTCTGCACGCAAAGCCTCGACCTCAAGATGGTATGCACTCAAATCACCCTGAAAGACAGCTATCTGATGCCGCAGGGGCTCAACCTGGGCAACCTCACGCTGAAGCTCTTGAAGAACGCGATCCGCTGTGTCCATCCACCAGAGATCACTCTGGCTTGCACGCCCTCTAAGAGGGAAACTTGTTGAAAGGATCGGGCCTGTTAACAAGCGGAGCCGTTGCGCCTTCAAGCCCAGGTTAGACAAAAATTTTTCTGTGCACCTTACTCGAACCGAGGCGCTGCAGATATCACATGTTGTTTCACAAAACATGACATCTGCATTCAAGAAAATGGGCTCGTGCTTCACTTGCCATTTTAAATGTCATGATGCGTGCATGTGTGTGCATCACAAATGGACACGTCCCGTTTTAAAACAAAACACCGCAAACGCAACCAGAAATTTTTCCCCAAGAAAAATTTCGTGATACAGCCACAGAAATAATGCCTTGTCCATCGCGATGGAAGGCCGTCGTAACATCTCGCGGCTAAACTGTTCTGCTTGAAGTACACAGGGATCTGAACCTGATTGTCTGGGCTGCACAACCTCATATTGCCACCAACATGTCGCAACTCGAAACCAGCTCTGTAGAGTTTGCCAACTGCTAGGAGTGGTGACGTCACATGGGGTGCTATCAGGAAGCTCTCCTTGATGGCGGTCACCTGACCTTCCTCACTTGCAGCAAACGTCACTTCAGCACGTTTCGATCCTTGGATGTTCAATCTGGTGCCCTGAGCATCCTGGAAGACGCCATCCTCGACTGCTACTGGCACACCATAGTCTGACATGTTTCCAGGCAAGCATGAAGCATCAGCGCCTGAATCCAGTATCATTTCTACTTCAACGCCAGGGAACTCTCCATGGGCATGTTTCAGCATACGCACATCCCCACACATCGGACCAGCAACTGGCATGTCACTGTTCTGCTCAGCACGACCGCTCAACGATGCATTATGCCAAACACACCGCCTCGGCACGCACTTCTGGAAAACGTTCCACACCCTCAGCATGAAACTCGGCCTGACGTCCTTGCCATGAACCTCATCCACAGCAGGGCTCTCACACTGGATCTCACGCTGAACCATTCGGACATGGCTCACAGCACTCGGTGACTCATCATAGTCCTCGAGATCGAAAGCAATGCGACGGACCTGGGCCTTCGCACCTGCCTTGGCTTTGGCGCTTGCCTCTTCAGAGGCCGCAGCATCGGCTGACGCAGCATTGTCAACCTGACGAACCTTCTTCGGCTGTCGGCAGTCACGGGCAAAATGCCCCTTCTTTCCGCAGTTATGGCATTTCTTGTTGGCAGCAGGATTTGCATTAGGGTTAGGGTTTCGCCCGGCTGAGCCTTTAGGGTGCTGTGGACTGTGGGTCTTACCCCCTTTTCCGCCCTTGGGACTTTTGCCACTATCACCCTTTCCCCATTTTCCCCCTTTGCCACGCTTACCACCCTTCTTACCACTCGGCCCTTTATTGTTGAGGAGGTCAATCTCCATTGGCGTTGGCTCTTCTACGAATCCACCTCCCTTGCCCTCAGAAAGCCCATATGTTGCTGCAACAGACGCACTCCATTTTGACGAAGAAGCATCATACCTAGACACAAGTGCTCTGAGTTCACTGTATGTCCAGCTGTCCTCCATCACGAGATTCACATGCTGACGGAGTTGCCCAGTGAGGCAACGTAGCAACGAAGCAACTTTCTGATCATCAGACAAGGACTGTGAGGCAATCGCATCATACTCGGCCATCGCTTGTTCAAGTCTCAAAACCTGACTCAACAACCCTTGCTTGTTGTCGAAGGTAGGCCATGCATGAATGGTCTGTAAGAGGGCCAGCGCACGGGTCCTTGAGGAAGGTCGCAGGTCCAGAGCAATTTGTCTGTAGGCCTCATAGCCATTGCTCTCTTCTACAGTCTTCAACACCCGCTTAAGGCGATCATTCAACAACGAAGCCATCAACCCGTAAACAATCCTTGATCGGTCCATCTCCCTTTCTGTAAAATCTGTCACAGCTACAGGGGTTTTCGGATTGTCACGAAGACGCTTGAAGTCAAGCTTGAACTCCTTATCTAGGGTGCTTAGGTACTGTTCAAACTCCCACGACCAAATCGGCCAGCGAACCAGCTCTTCTTCCCTAGTCTTTCCTACAAAGACCACAGGGTGCTTTAGGACCTTGCTTAGATCCTTTGCTGCAAGCCCAGTCGGGCTCGTGGGAGAGCTTGGGCCTGAACCTGGCGCAGCTTGCGCTTGCTGCTGCTGCTGGTTTTGCAGCAGCTGTGTCAACACCTGCTGGTTTTGCTGCATCGCTCCCAGAATCTCAAGCAACCTGGCCTCATTGGCCTGCGTGGAACCTGCAGGTGACGCAGCGGGCCCCAGGGTAGGGCTCTGTTGGGGACTTCCATTTGGGCTGATTTGAGGTCCCGACATGACTCTCACAGAAAATCAAGGATCAAGATCAATGCAAATGGATTCTGCTCCCGGCTGCAGTGCTCTGAAACGCTTTCGCGGCGGTCCCAGGTCTGATGGCTCAGACTGCACAGCAGTGCTCTCTGAGGAGGCACTGTCAGGGAGAGCGGCTCCCTTACACTCAGATGCAGTGACTGGCCTTGGGGTCTCGACAAGCTGCTGGATCACAGTACACAAGAAAATTTCAAGCAAATCCTTCTGTCCCTTCAGCAAGTGACAACCAAAAGCAATGATTTCCGGAATGCTGTGAAGGTTTCTCAGAGTCTCCTTGCGCTGCTTTCTCACAAGATTTTGTCTGCGCTCGAAGCTCAACTGCGACAAAGAAGGGGTCTTGGGCTTGGAGAACTGAAGCTCACAGAACCACTCAATAACCTCTGGAGTAGGATTAACGATGTTCTCCCACCAAGGCTCAGTTAACACTTCACCCTGTCCTTCCGTCGTAGTGCTGGCGCGGGCGCAGGTGGGATTGCCGTCCACCACACACTATGGCTGCAAGAGGAGGCTGACTACACAGCTAACTCTCAACACAACCAACAATCAAAGCAAAGGAAACTTCGAGTCCTGGTCCCTGAACACAAACCCGAAAGACGTGTCGAACCCTGGAAACCCTTTGGCCCCTGGGTTCTTTAGGGCGCCAACCGGCTGCCCTCGGGATCGGGTCCTGTCCCTCTCGGATACCTCTGTCGCCCAACTCAAAGGTAAAGGCGCGTAGAGGCTCCGCTACCATGAAAACTTTTCACACGAGTGAACACAGCTGCAGCGGCACACTCAAGGAATCACAGCATGACCACATGGTGCAATGGGCAAAACAGTTTCACTACAGTTGCAATGAGATATCGCAATCAAATCAAACTCGTAATCAAAAATAGAACACATTCCCTTCTCTCTTCGTACAGAGAAATGTATGTTTAGAGTCTCACTTCTCTGGTTTCGAATATCAAATCCAAAAAACACAGACAAAAAATATAACAAGATTCGAAGGGGGTGGAATTTAGAATAAATTCCCTTCTCTCTCTTCTTCAAGGGAAGTTCATGTTTAGAGTCTCACTTCTCTGGTTTCGAATAATGAAATCCAAAGACAAAAGATTCGAGGGGGGTGGAATTTAGAATAAATCCCTTCTCTCTCATCTTCAAGATAAATTAATGTTTAGAGTCTCACTCTGCCTCGAATAATGAAAACAAAAAACAACAAGGTTTCAGGGGGTGGAATTTAGAACACATCCTTGCTTTCTCTTCTTGAAGAATATAGTTATACCAAAAGGGTGTCTGGACACCTTCAACGCCCTTGAAGCTCCTCTCCGCGTGCTGCGCGTGGCTTGGCGCGCTCTGGCATGGCTTTCGCGCGCGCGGCTTCGCGTGGCTTCGCGCGCTTCGCGAGCGTGGCTTCGCGTGGCTTTGCGCGCGCGGCTTCGAGTGGCTTCGCGCGCTTCACTCGCGCGGCTTCGCGCGCGGGGCTTCGCGCGCTGGGCCTCGCACGCGGGGCCTCGCGCGCGCGGCTTCGCGCTTATGGCTCGCACGTGCGCTTCGCGCGGCTTCGCGCGCTTGGCGGGCGTGGCTTCGCGCACGTGGCTTCGCGCGGCTTCGCGACCGGCTTAACTTCGCGCGGGGCTTCGCGCACGCAGGCGCGGCTTCGCCCGCGCCGCTTCGCGCGCGCGGCTTCGCGCGCGTGGCTTCGCGCACGTGGCTTCGCACGCGCGGCTTCGCGCGCGCGGCTTCGCGCGCGCGGCTTCTCGCGCGGGGCTTCGCGTGGGGCTTCGCACGCGCCGGCTTCGCACGGCTTCGCGCGCTTCGCGGCTACCTGTGCCCGACCCCTGAGCGGACCATTGTGACATCGTCCGGTAGGGGGCTGGGGGTGCCTAGCATCTGGGGCATCCGGATAAAAGAGCACCAATCCACCATTTGCCTCAAGTTGGTCCTCTGACGCACAAACCATGCCAATTGAATCTGGCGAACGAGCTCCGCACGGTATGAATCCGTCCGGCGAGCAACTCCACGGCGAGGATGGAAGCGAGCCACAGGGCTGTGTCTCGTCCACCTCCACGTCCATGCAGCCCAATGGCTCCGTCGATAGGGAGTTGGGCAGGAGGTCGAGGACTGCAAACCTTCGTAGCTCCTCCGCTTCCCACCTGGCTGTCAAGAGAGTGTCATGATCAAGCAGCACCAGGACCAGCCCCGGCGCCAGGACCCTAAGGACCGTCAAAACTTCCGGCCCAGCCCACGTAAAGTGCACAGCAGCCATCCCCGCTTCCTGCGTGTTCACAAGGATGGGAAACCACTTTTCTTTGTGCGGACCCTCCCACTGCATTCGGGCAACAAGATGCCGTATAAAGAAGGGAAAGTGTGGGATGGACAAGAAGCAGCGACTATCAGTGACCAAGAGGAGGACGTGGGCACCCGCGGACTCCGCAGCCCGGAGCTGTGAAGCAGACAGCCAAGCAGTGCCTGGCAGTCGATCGCTGGATGGAACCCTTGAGGGTCAGGCGGCTCACAGACGACTGCTCCCGCGGCCGCACGCAGTGGCAGCACGCCGCTTGGGGTGGGTTCCGGGAAGTTTTGATCACTCTCTAACGCATGCGTGAGGTCGGCTGGTTCGGCAGGCCCTGGCCCATTTTCAACATTGAGCGCGTTAAGCTGATGTATGGCCTGCATGGCCGTTGCCGCCAGGGCTTGCGGGCATGCAGCGTCGTGCCAGGGCGGCAAATCCTCTGATGCTGGTGCTGGAGGTGGCAACGACTGGGAGGTGTGAAGCTCCTTCCCACTGACCTCGCTGTGTTTGTGTTCCCTGACCCGGGGAGGGATCGGTGGTGCAGGAGGTCGGGGGCTATTATTTTCCAAACAAAAATGTTTCACATGTATGAAAACATCGCCTGGCTGAAAGTACGCGATCCATCGATGTTATGCTCATTCATTGGTGTTCCATGCACGGCAATGCTATTCACATGCACCGACTGCAATGACATGCACCCTCACGCTAACACGACTGAAGCTTATGCACTGGCATCTTTTCCAAGGAAGGGGATTTGCTGTGTCTGCTTCCATCCGAGATCTGTCCTCTGCAGGTGTGTGAGAAACGAAAGCTCCCCCGTGAAACGCTACACAAAGTGCTAAAAGCAGAGTTCTCTGCTGCACTCAGCGGTTCCGCCTAAGTGAGCGGCCTGTCAATGGTTCAGTTGAACAACGAAGTGCACACATGTTCCGAGGTGCACCGGTAGATCGCTGAGGTTCGTGCTGTAAGGCACATGACGACCCTGCATTTCCAAGCGGAAACTGGAAGTACGTAAGTCATGCCCCGAGCGATGCCACACATCGTCAGCAACCGCAAACTTGACGTCGTCAACTGTTCCTGTGGTCGCCACTCTACAAAGCACAACATCCACAACCGGCACATTGGTTACCATCACCCGAAACCCCACGACCCCCCAACCTTAACCCCTAAACCCCCAAGCCCTCAACCCTAGCCCCAAGCCCTACACCCTACCCCCAAACCTAAGCCCCAAGCCCTAAAACCCGCCAGCCCTAGACCCCAAAAGCCCTAAACCCCAAACCCTAAACCTAAACCCTAAACCCTAAACCCTAAACCCCTAAACCCCCTAAACCCTAAACCCTAAACCCTAAACCCTAAACCCTAAACCCTAAACCCTAAACCCTAAACCCTAAACCCTAAACCCGAACCCCACACCACGCCGCTGCCCGGGTCCGCACCTTTGCTGGAGCAGGCTAGCGCCTCGCAGCTCCATTGAGATTGGAGCCGCACGACTTGTGCCTGAGTGAGGGGCTTAGAGCCCTAAGCGCTACCGCGTAGGGCTTAGGGGTTGGAGTTCGGATTTTTGGAGTTTGGGGTTTAGGGTTTAGGGCTTAGGCTTAGGAATTTCAAACTTAAAGACAATATGGAACCCTAAACCCTAAACCCCTAAACCCTAAAAGAGGGGTAGGGCCATGCAGCATGGCAATCCTAGCAGCGAGCCCTGAAGGGGTTTAGGGTTTCAGGGTTTCAGGAATGAAGGCTTGAAGAGCAGAAGAGTTGAAGGCTTGAAGGGTTGAAGGCTTGAAGAGTTGAAGGCTTGAAGAGTTGAAGGGTTGACGAGTTGAAGGTTTGAAGAGTTGAAGGGTTGAAAGCTCGCAGCCACCGGTGCCAAAGACCTCTTTGTCGGGAGATTTTTCAGGCTTCGACCTCGAAGGCCTATGAGCGCACCAGGTACAGCTTTCCACCAGCCCTGAACACTGTATCCATCAAGACCCGATGTTCCGGCATCACGTTTCATCTCAACTGCCCAATGTAAGGCACAATTGGAGTGGGTGGGCGGGCAGAAAAATTTTCCCGGACCCTCTCCACGAGGGTTGTGGCTGAGAGGGCTGTGGCCTCTCTTCGTCTGAGCCGAAAAACTTTCTCACTCGTAGAATTCGAAAATTTTTCTCCGGAAAATAAAGGTTTGTACTTACAGCACGATTACCTTATTTTCCAAACAAAAATGTTTCACACGTATGAAAACATCGCCTGGCTGAAAGTACGCGATCCATCGATGTTATGCTCATTCATTGGTGTTCCATGCACGGCAATGCTATTCACATGCACCGACTGCAATGACATGCACCCTCACGCTAACACGACTGAAGCTTATGCACTGGCATCTTTTCCAAGGAAGGGGATTTGCTGTGTCTGCTTCCATCCGAGATCTGTCCTCTGCAGGTGTGTGAGAAACGAAAGCTCCCTCTCTTGGTCGGGGAGAATGCAAGTCCCTTCCTTGGTCATGGGGTTTCAGGCCCCGCGCCCGACGAGCGAGTTCACCAGCTTGGCCATTTCCGCAAGAAGCACCTGGTCTTGGAACCTGCAATTGTGTGGCAGCCCTGTAAAGTCAAGGCGAGACGGGGCGTCCGCCACGTTGGATTTGCTGGGTACCCGAGCGTAGAACGGGATCATCTCAAGCTCCTGTTCTAACAATGCACAAGCATTGCTCAAGAGGGTCAAAGCCTCTGAATCGCTGGTCAGCTTGAGGAGCGTTATGCGCGCCGCCTCATTGTCTAAGTAGCACATCACATGTTTCCCCCGCAGAAACTCTCGGGCTAGAATGAATAGCAGGAGAACAGCTATGCTCTCGAGCTCGTTGATGACTTTAGACTTTCCTTGCAGAAGTTTCTCAGCAAGGTCATGCGGTAACACAATGCCAAACCAGCACAGGATGTGCCCCTCCTGATTGAACAGGATTGCTCCCAGGCCCATTTCGAGGCCTTGGAGTCCTTCTTGCGAGGCGTCCGTAAAAGCGTACACCGTCTCTGAGGTCTGGGCTCGCACTATCCTCGGCGACGCCTCGGCTATGTAGTGTCGTAGCCCCTGCAGTGCTGCGCAAAGGGAGGCTTGGTTTTGTCTCCTGACATATGCGGGGGCATTGATGATGTCAGAGATTCTTCTCATGAAGCCCTTCGGCAAGCGCCCAGAGAGTTGGCCCGCCACGAAGTGCAGCCTTCCCCTCAGTCGATTCCAAGTCTTAGGGCTTGAAGCTCCTTGCTCCTGAAAGGCTGCCAGGTCTTCAATGAGACTTTTGGTCCGCTCTGCTGTATTCTGGATCCTAATTATCTGTTGCTGCTGTCTGTAAGGTCAAATTCGACCCCCAAAGATCTGAAGACCTCCTGGAACGGCTGGGCCTTGTCTCCGTCTCTGTCAAACTCAAAGCCGAGCAAGTCTAGCAGAAAACATGCACTGGCCTCTGCGCTAGTGGCCAGCTGTCGTGTTGACAACAGTGTGAAGTCATCGTAAAAAGAGCTCCAAGGCAAGTGCCAAAACGTGTTTCCTATATGACAAATAGCCAGGCTGACCCTGATGAATGCATGGACCGCCGCCACAGCGCCGAATGGAAGGCAGAGAAGCCGAAGCCTAAAGAAGCGAACCTCCCCCGAATTGGGGTCCTTGACAGCCACGTAGGCCATGTTGAGTGCCTCTTCGGACAGTGGTAGTTGCCTATATGCTGATTTCAGGTCAATGGTTTTACCAAGCAGTCCTTGTCCTGCGTGCCTCAGGAACAATATGGCCGACGCTGCAATTGTCTCGATGTCATGCAACTCGATCTTCCCCATGCTCCCGAATGCCTCGTTGATGTGGCTCTGGGACAGGTCGTCAATCGGCCTGACCTTGTTTCCTTGTTGGATCGCAAAACGTTTGCTGACTACAGCTCCTTGTGGCAAGTCCTGCTCTCGGAAAGGTCCTTCCGACCAGCCTTTTGACACTTCATCGAGACTTTTCTGCCACAGTTCTTCCAAGAACTGAGATGAGTCCTCAACTTCCTTGATGACCTGGTGGTTCGTCTCCTGCGTCAGTTGGGACAGGTCCTTCAGGGAGAGGAATGCTGGACGAAAGTCGGTGGACCAGCCTGCCGGAAGGTCTAAATGCCCCACAAGGTCAAAACCCTGTGCCAGGTCGTCCGCCACTGCCTTGTCGGCGTAGTGGGATGCTTCCAGCATCTCTTTGAAGAGCAGTATTCTCTTGTTACGGAGGCTGCTGCGTATGTGCTCGGGCAGCTTGGCTTTGAAGTCGTCTTCAGCTAACTGCAGCTCCTGGGCTCGCTGGAGCCATCTCCGTGACTGCGCAGCTCGAGTCTCAATCACCTTGGTTGCAGGCTGTTTAGAACACGCCAAAATTGCCTTCCGCAGGGCGGGTGGCACCCCGAGACACAGGTGTCGGGGGTGGCCGGCCAGTCGGGCTTTCGCCACAAATTCCTGTGGGTTCCACGGGACCTCCACCAGTACATCCGTCGCAGAAGACAGTAGGGGCGTCACTCTCAGCGCCGGGGCTCCTGGCGCCTTGAAGCCCGGGATCCTGTCCGGTGCCAACCACTGTGTAGTCTGGAGAGTACTACGGAGTTGGCCGGGTACTGTCCATCTGATTCGTCTGCGAAATTCGGGGATAACCTGAAACGATGCAGCCTTTTTGGTCTTCGCCTGTGTCGTTACCACCCTGGCTCCTGAGGAGTTTGCGGGATCGGCCTCCAAGAGATTCAGACCATCCCGACAACCCTTCTGTGTCAGATGCTGCAGCAGCAGGGAAACAAAGTGCTTACAAAACTGGTGTGGACACGCAGTCTCAAGCTTTGTTGCGAGAACTCCCTCTTGCACTTTCCAGGGCAGGTGCTCGTGGGATCCATCACACGTGACAGCCAGGCCTGTGATGAGGTCGCTGTTGCACAGCAGGGCCGTCCGCTTTAATCTCGAACCTCCCATCATGCAAAAGTCGCACTGGACCACGATCGCCTGTTCACTCCTGAGGATGTGTTCAATGGCGCTGCAATGCCAGAAGAAACTGCGATAGGGGTTCTCTATGATTACCACAATGTCATTTTCGCAGCAGAAGCCCCAGATTCGGGCCGTGAGCCGGTAAAGCTCGTTAGCCTTTGCCACCCTTTCTGCATCGCTTGGGCCAAGGCCTGGGAGCCCTTCCGGGCACTCCACTGACCGCAAAGGACGCGGCTCGTCCTCCCCCGGACACGGGATTTCCCTGGCCCTGCTGGATGTGCCGCAGGGCGGCGCCAGCCATACGGCGACCAGTCCTGGAGAACCCAGCCATTTCCACAGAAGACCTTGGTGCGACAACAGGAGCAAGTCCAGCTGTATGATCTTGCCCTTGCGCCTCGGCATGCGGACATTGTCTACTCCGACTGACCGCTTGAGGCCGGCTGAAGCAGCTGCCGAGGTAATCCCGGCCGACCCCGCGAAAATTTCCAAAACCCAACACTCCTGTATGGTCTGGGGCGCAGTACATTGCGCTTGCCCAGACCTCTGCGCGCCGTGATGACTCGCCTGAGGTGAAAATGCAGAAGCCTCGGCTGGAGGCTTGGAAAATTGTGGGATTGGCTCAGCCACCCGCTTGAGCGGGGGCTGCTTCTCTTGCCCTTTCGCAAAAGCAGCAGGGTACGAGTCCTTGCAGCTCTCTTCGGGCCTGTCCGCCTCAGAAGCGGGAAAATTGTTCTGTTCACAAAATTGGGCCGAACTGTCTCCACCCTCCCCCATGGCTGTTTCTTCTCTTACCGCGCACGCTTGTGCGCGACGCGCGGTCAGAGCAGCTCGAGACGCCTGGTCCGGCGCAGAAGCGCTGTCATTCGACGTCCCTTGCAGCGGGGCGTTCTTTCAGGCTACCTGGCCTGAATGCTTGTGCTCAGAAAAGGGATGCTTCCGGAAGCAACCTGGGTGACAACACACATGTCTGCCACGTGCACATCTGCCCCCCAAGGGGGCGTCCTTGCACTGTCCTAGGTTGAAGCCAAAACAAAGAGGCTCTCCTTGCTCGTCGTTCGGCACTCCGCCTCGCAAGGCGGCCGGCATGGGGGTCTCCCCCTTGCCTCCTTGCAAGACAAGGGACTTGTTCGGAAAGCCTCCCTTGCCACTGTCAAATTTTCCTTTTGTGGGGAGGCGGGCCCCCTTGAGGCCTGATTTGCCTCCCTGGCCCTTGTCTCCTTTGTCGGTCCTCTGATATTTCCATTGTCCGTACCCTTTTCCGTCGCCCCAGCGCTTGGGGCCCTTGCCAGCGCCTTTGCCTCCTCTATCTGGGAACCCTTCCACACGAGGTGTCGGCATGAAGTGGAAATTGACTGCAACCGTGTTGGTGGCTTCCAGAAAGACTTGATCTAAGCACCGGGCGTCCGCGAGCGGCGCGTTCGCCGCTGCCCTTGTCAGGGTCGGCTGTTTGCTGCCAAGCTCCATCCACAAGGCCCGATCTGCTCGCAGGACCTGCTGCAGCGTCGGACGGTTGAAGCCTGGGGGCGGTGGGGTCTGCAAGGTAGCAAAGGCCTTCTGAAGCCATTTCTCGTGCACCTTGAAACTCAAAATGCCAACGAGGTCGTAGGCCAGACCCCGTCTTTGCAGCGCCCTGTAAGTCGCCAACTGGGCCTCTACTTTAGAGGATTTGTCTTGAACCGAGAGGCCATCCCCCGAAGCGTCCAGCACAAGTTCCTTGGTTGGCTTGCCTTGCGCCAATTCCTGGCGACGCGTGGGGATCTTGCTCGGATGCAGGTATTTCAGCGACCCTTGCTCTACTTGTGTCGACACAGCATCATATACTGAAAAGGCGGGCTCTAAGTCATGCTCAATCGAGAGTCCGCCCAGCCTTTGAGCCTGCAATTCCAGGCGCTGGGCTCTCTCAGCTCCTGGCAGCTTACGTAGGACTGAGTCCGGCTGCTGTTCCACGGTTGCCTTCAAGTTTGCCAAGCTCATGGTCTGGCACTCAAACAGGAGCCTCTTGACAACTGTCATCTGTGCAAGAGTGGGGTTGTTCTGCCCCAGACTCGTACATAGAGTGGAGACCTCCCTATCTGTGAGAGGTTGACCCGGTTGAGTGGCGGCATAGGCCGCCATGGACACCGTCTTGACCCCTCCAGCTATGAATTTGTCCAAGAGTGGCTGCTCCATTCCGATCTTGCGAGCATGTTGCTCGAAGAAAGGCTGACTATCCGCTGCGTTTGCCATGTTTAGGGAGTGGGGCCAAAACTGCAACTTGCAAGAGAGAGAGCTGGTACAAAAGGGCTGGTGTTGCACAAGCACACAAACCGGCCAACAACAGTGTCACCCCTCTCTTTACTCCTGAAAACAACGGCTGCACTGTAGCCACTTCGCTGAGGGCTTCTCCATTTCTACAAAATTGACGCTTATCCACTTGCCACATTTCAGCGTCGTCTGACCTACTTTGTACAGATGTAACACGGTAGACTTCTTGTTCTGGATCGCGCTCCAACCCTCCGGTAGGCTCAGGGTCGAAGCTGGTTCCTCCTTTTCTTCCGACGAGGCTCCATCAGAGGTTTCCTCGGAGGACCCGTCTGCTGATGTGGTGGGCGAGATCTCTGCCTCCTCGTTATCATCTGCACCTTGTGTGTCGACCTTATCGAACAGCGCCTCGCAAAAGAAGTCACGGTAGCCAACCTGTCTAATTCCTCACTTTCTTTCGAGGGGGATTCGTCTCCTTCCGCTACCGACGGCGCAGATGCTTCCAAGACAGGCATGGCACTTGGTGACTCAAAAACCTTCCCTTGCGAGGAGCAAAGCGGTCCAACCCCCAGGAAATCGTCCTCAAAGCCTTCCACTGTAGCTGGCAAAGGCTCATGCGTGCTTTCGGAGTTCGCGGGCAGCCCATCTAAGCTGCCTGCCTTGCTGATCGGCAGCCAGGACCCGAGGTCAACAGACGCACCTGCCTCTGATCCTTGGGCACGGGCAAAGTATCCACTCCGAGTAGCGTCCGGGCAAAACGAGCCCTCCCGTACCTGCTTTAGCATTTCCTCCAGCTGCCGGAGGGGTAGCAGTCCCGTCAGCCAGTTGGAGGCCTCGGCGGAGTCGATGGACCTCTGCAGCCAGGCACCGTCTGGGGCGGTGGCAGGTAGTAAAGGGCCTACAGGGGTCTTCGAGAGCACGATCCCTGCTTCGGCGGCCACTTTCTGCCATTCTTTGGCCCAAACCACCGTCGGGTGGACCCCCCGAACTGGAGCCACCAAGGGCATGAACAACGAGAGTTTCTTCTTCTTGTTGGACTGTTTCACCTCCCTGGCCCTGCCTTCCAGAAAACCACAGATTTCGGGGCCAATCTCCAGAAAATCGAACTCCAAGGATCGCACGTGCCTGATGTCCGACCAACGGTTCCTGCTGAAGATCTGAAACAGGAATACCCCTGCTGCAAATCGATCGACAATGTGGAGCTCAGCGTTCCAAACACACTCTTCCAGAAACCTAACTTCAAGCACTGTTAGGTCCCGGGCTTGATGTGTGGGCTCGTGCTCGCCTGCCACTCGGTCGGCCAAGCCTTGGACCCTGGGGGAGATGGAATTCGAATGGAAAGCACAAATTTCACAAACTTCAACGCTTGTACCACGCTCTGAGGTGCCAGCTTGCCCTTCTTCCTGTGGGATATCTCTCTGCAGAACTTGTACACCGCTTCCTCTGATGGGAGAAGGGGTTCCTCCACAGAGGTCCCTTGCACATCGGCCTGTTTTTGAAGCCAACGAAACAATCTCAACAAGGTTGATGCACGCTTCTGGATTGTGTGTGGTGATTTCGATCCAAACATGTCACGAAGGGACAACATCTTCTCCTCTTCGTCCAATTCCTGTAATGTTTTGGCAAAAGTGGTGGACGGGGAGGCCTCGAACAGCTGTTTCCACATCTGCATGTTTTTCAACCACATGCCTGCAACAGCCTCCTCAAAAGGCTCATCTTTCTTTTTGCACTTGATCACTTTGCTGAAAACATTGGCTCCCGGTGAGGAGCTGAAGACACCTGTGATTGGCGTCTTGTCTTTGTCTTGCAAAACGCTGGGACCTGGTGTAGACGATAGTTCGGCTTCATCCACATTGACAAGAACCTTGGGCTCTGGCCAGTCCAGTGACACCACTGGTCTAGGTGCGAAGATGTCCCTGAAAATTCCCTGTTCCCAGGGGAGTTGCACATTCGGTGGTCCTGCGGAAATCAGGACCTGAGCAACACGATGCTGGTTAACTTCTTGGCCTTCCGACTCGCTGTCAGAAGGCACCTCCGGTGCTCTTAGGTGACCAGCCATCTGGGGCTTGAACCAAAACTGACCCAAAACTCCCGATACCCGCATGAAAGGAAACATGTGAGGAAGACAAAATTTCTGTTGCAAACATGATGACAAAGCGAAAGTTCACTCGCCCTGTCAGAACGGGACACTCTTTTATGGCTCCCGACGAGCTTATATCGAGGCTCAGTGTTTCGGCTCTTGGCTCAGATTGGCCAGGCTACGGATACGGCCCTCAAAACTGCACAGGTGGGACTCAAAAGCAGGTGGTCCCCTGACCGCGCGCTGCCTGCATCTCGGCAAGCAGCATTCAGTGCCGGCATGCCCCCCTCCACCTGGGGCGTATTCTCCTGCAGGAGCCCTTCCATCGAGAAGATGACGTCCCTCCCTTTGGCTCTTGCAGCCACCTTGGAGATTGAGGCTTTGATACCTTCAAAGCCGGAGTCGTTGCAGACCCCGCGGCCGCTGAATCCGTACGACGGGAAGTCGCCGTCCGTGAAGTCTCCCGGGGTTATCTCCCCATACTCGCCCACACCCATGGCTGCTGTCCACAGCAAGCCGTGGGACATTGTCATCGTATAGCGGTGGTTTGCGGGCTCCAGGAAGGATGGCCCTGTCAACTTTGTGCGAAAGCACAACACTTTCTGCCCTGGCACTGCGAACATGATCGCATCGAAGTCCCCTTCAATGTCCAGCGGCCTGGAGTTCTGCTTGAACCACGCGAACAAGCATGCACAGCGCTCGACAATCGGCTGCGGCACCTCGGTGGGGTTCTTATACTTTGCCATGTACAGCATCAACCGGTCGCGATACTCGTCCACCAAGGTCCCGTCAATCAGGCCTCGGGCGTCCTTCCAGGACATGTTCCACCAGCTTCGCAAGATGCCCTCACGCATCAGTTCTCGGGCGCACTTGGGTCGCGAGGGGTCTGCGAGGGCCTTAGCGATCGCTCCTTGCCAGAGCTGACTGTGGAACCCTTCTTCTTCGCGCTCAGCCTTGCGATTGGCCGCCGCCTGAACTTCCTCCTCCGTCGCCTCCGCAACGTTGAATGCAGAGTCGGGCCTCTCAGGCGGCCCTTGCTGCCGGGCTCCAAAAATCCCAGCCACTGGGTCGAGGAGAATCTCCGGCTCCTCCTCCTTGGGGGCAGCCCCTCGCCCATACTGCTCCTTAGCCGGCTTTTGCTCAGGCTTGGGCCATTTGTTCCAGCCTTTGGGCTTGTCCCACTTCTCGCGCCGATTCCCTCCAGAGCCCTGCCACGAGCTGCTGGAGCCGTAGTTCTTAGAATGCCCCCAACCTTTGCCCCATGAAGACTGCTGGCTCTTCCACGGGGTGGACTGTTCTTGCCACCGGGAGGAGTCCTTCCAAGAAGAAGCTGCCTCAGCTCCCTTCTGAGCAGGAAGGGACGCCTGGGTCTGTTGCCCAGACGCCACGCCGAAGACCGCAGTCGGCACTTGGCACCAATGAAATCCTGTCTCTGGAGACCTCTCTCGACGCCCCCTTGGGCTGCGCGACCTAGACGCCCTTCGGCGCCTGTCTCTGCGTCTTGAGCGACGGCTGTCGCTGCTGCTTCTGTTCCTCCTGCGGCCCCTGGAGGCAGAGCCTTGTGACTCACCGCCCGGAAAGAAGTGCCACGGAAACATCTGGGCTTACGCCTCTTTTCTTTGCCCCCTGGCTTTTGTTTCCTCTCAGAGCCTTCGCTACCCTTTTTGTCTCTCTCTTTTTTTTTTTTTGAGCCGACAGAGATTCAGGTTTGGGAGAATAAACTCAGATGTCAGCACGACTTTCCCTTGAAATGTGCAATTAAGTGCTGAGTCGATCGCAGCTTGCAATCTTTCTGTTTTCAAGCTCTCGAGAGAACCTCTCGTCTCTACTAGACGACTGATCGGTGCCCTTGCACCTCTTGCCGGCCCTTGCCGGATTTGGCTATCGTCACGGCCTGAAAGAATGGGCTGCCCTTGCAGCGATGTATGAAGCACACTCATTGCGTGCCTTGAATATTGGCCCTTGCCATCTTCAGCTGCCCTTGCAGCAAAACTATTTGAGTTGCCCTTGCAACAAATCTCATCGAGCTGACCCTTCAGCCGATCTTTGACCACGACTGCCTTAGCAGCTTGATCTCTCTTGAGCTGCCCTTGCAGCATTCTTGGAACTGCCCATGCATTATAATTCTCCCCGAAGACTTTTCACTTCGAAGGACACCACCTGAAGTGCGGCAGTGTTCATTTGACGATGTGGTTCTATCTGCAAAGGTCCAACACAAACTCACATGCTTCAAAAACACAAACCACGCAGCGGACTCCAGAGACAGTGCAAATGCAAGCACTGATTGCTCATCCCTTCCGTGCCTTAGCGTCTAGGACCTGTTGTCAGGGCAGGACGGACACGCTGCTGAACCTTTTGCTTGGCCATCGGCTAACGAGGAGGGCACTCCAGGTCCCCACATCAAGATGCCTGAACGAGGCGTAAACTGCGCAAGCTGATTCCTAATTCTGCTGCAGGAGAAACGTATGGACAAGGTTGCTTCTACACCCAGGCCAAAGCTTCTAAACTTGGTTCCGCGCAAGATAAAATATTTTGACCTGACATGTACAACTCTCGCAGTCGACGAGAACAGCTACCAGCTGCAGCAAGTTCTGAAACCTAAGACACTAGCTCGTCTCCAGGAATCTACCTGCGCTCCAGCAAACTTCCAGCGACAGCAATGCACAGCAACCAACGCACTCACAAAGTCTCCAAGAAAGACCTGGAGAAAAGAAACCTTAAATTGCGTCCTGGCTCAGACTACAACAACGCACCATGCTCCAAGAAAGCTCAAGAACAAGAAGGCAACTCGGCTTTCAGAACCAAGCTTGAAATGTAAGCTCCAAGCGCCATCGACCTTCTGTGAGGCTCCCGCTCCCCCCACCAGGCCGCAGGATGCTAATCCCCCAGCACACTTGGCTGAAGGCAGAAAAATTTTCCCGGACCCTCTCCACGAGGGTTGTGGCTGAGAGGGCTGTGGCCTCTCTTCGTCTGAGCCGAAAAACTTTCTCACTCGTAGAATTCGAAAATTTTTCTCCGGAAAATAAAGGTTTGTACTTACAGCACGATTACCTTGCCCGGCCAGAAAACGCTGGGTTGGTTCAGTGGTGGAGCCTGCATGGGCAAGGGCGACAGGGCTGCCTCCCTACCCGCTTCGTGTCCGGTGACTGCACATGCCCAAGGGGGGGCATCTATCGCGCCAACAGGCAGAGCACTCTGTGGTGTAGATAACACACGCCCCGTAAGGGCACTGCGATGTGGCATGATGCCAATGCCTGGTCTCCCTGCGTGCAGGAGAAAACAGCGAACGGTGGATTGCAGGGCGAAACAAATTGAGTTGCTGTCTCTCAAAAAGGCAGAGTGATCCAGGCGCAGCAGATGTTGCACTTCCGGCGGGAAGCATTGGCACCAACCGGCTGCATCCATTTCATCAGGCCGGATGACGCCTGCTTGCAGCTGCCTGGTCATCGCGATATCACTAGTCCCTATAGTGGCCAGTGCAGTGAGCTGTCCTCGCTTGGCAACAAAGACCTGGAGCAAGTGCGATCCCGCAGGGATCGTGTAAGGTTGACAAGCATAGGACTCCATGGCTGCAATCACCGAACGCGGCCTAACCTGCTGTCAAGAGTGGCAACCTAGAAAGTTTCAAGAAACGAAGTTGGGCAACAATCAGCACCGGAGGCAACACCAATCACAGAAAAGGAAACAAAACAACAAGAAAGAGCCATGGCATGCCAGCAACAAATAATCTAACCACCTCCATTTTGAGCCAATGCAAGCCCAGACGCACATACCGGTAGAGCCCTCGAATGCAAGCACACCTCGATTGGCGGTTGGTTTGTAGCGGCAACGCAGGTGCCAGCGAGCGTGAATCGATTAAAGGAAAAAGAAAGGCAACCTCTACCCTGCCCATACGACTACTCAGGAAGCGCAATATGGTCCGCCAGCAGCCAATCAGGATCACTCAGCAATGCAGGCCACACCACATGCTCCGGGTCCTTGCCGATGACAACCTGGCGGATCGTGAGGCCGGGAGCCCAAGGGTACTGCGTGCGTCCGTAGCCCTTGAAGACGGTGAAACGCGAGTCTTCAGAGAGGCACTCAGTTACCGGGGACACCCGATGGTTGCCACGCACCGAGTGGCCGTGCCGAAGGTTGCGTTGGAAAGTTTCCACATCATGGCGTCCGCCATAAACCAGTGGCCTCGTTGGTCGGAGCCGGTAACAAGGAGGGAAGACGCACTGGGCCCACACACACGCAAGCCCGAAAGCTCGCCGGGGTCTCGGAGACCGCAATCTGGTAGGCTATGGTCCCTCCAGAGCCCAAGCCAATAAGGTACGTCGGCAAGGAGATGTGAGGGCTCACATCACTTTTGGCAGCCTGCAAGAGCGCTAAGATCTCCATGGTATACACAGCTTTCGTCCAGGCGGCGCCGTCAGGTAGCATCCAGGCGGGCGGAGAGCCTGCCTGCCCTGCCACAGGCCAAGCACAGGCGATGATGGCCCTCTTGAAGGCTCCACAGGTGTTCGATGGCTCCTTGCCAGGGCAGTGGGTGCATATTCTCCACGTAGAAGTGCCCACAACCTAGAGTCGTCATTCGGCCGAGATACCACAAAGGGGAGGGTCGCATTGCCATGACTCACTGTGATCCAAGTGTTGTCTCGTCCCGCGATGAGCGGTGGGGCAACCAGTGTGGGCGGCTGCTGGGTCTCAAAGCCGAGGGGTTCTTGCAGTGCCATGGCACAGAAACGGCAACCTACCCGGTCAAGGAGGGGCAGAGGAGCGGAAGACTGGGCAGTCTTACCTGAGAGCCATGAAGTCCAGCGCGAAGCCATTTCACACGTCAGCCAACTTGCTCACGCCACTTCCTGACCGTCTGCCCATGCTAAGGGAGGCTTCAACTACAGTGAAGATGCAATCAATGCTCGCAACTCACTAGATCAGGCAAAACAACATCGCTTACTCTACTTCATCACCCTTTGTCCGTGGAGGAGGGAAGTGCAGGAAGGTTGCGCTGCCATTTGTTCCATCTTCGCACAAAATTCGGGGCTAAGAGT